AATACGAGGGACAGCAATGTCGGTGGCTGATTTCTTCGGACTGTTAAGGACCGATGGAGCCGTATTAGAATCGGGCTCCGGTATGCTACAGTCGTATAACTTGTCTGCTTCTTTTTGACTGAGTTGTCGCATGTAGGAAACCGCGGCTCTGCGCAAAAGCAGATCAGAGCTCGAGAGACAAACCTGAGGAGGGAAAACGAAAAACAACTTTAGGAACAAGAGATTGATAGAATTTGAGACATTTATATTGAAACTAAAAAGTGATTTAGTTCGCCAGGAGTGATACCAAGAACGAATCTTCCTGTTCCATCAGTTGCAAATGCCTTAGGGGAAAAATAAAACCAAAGGATGAAGAGAAGAAAAGGAAACGTCTACTACCATACATTTGTGAGGTGTCAGAAGCCGTCGATTGCATCCTTCAAGTGTAAACAGCGCTTACAATCCTAGGAAATGCGGTCAATTTTGTTTCACGACAAGAACCACACGACCAATCAGGGGTTGTGTACGCAATTCCGAGCCTAGACTGTGACCAACGATGCGTAGGAAAGACAGGCAAACAACCGTGTACCCGCCGACATGAACACACACAATGCGATGCGCTTACCCGAAGTCACACCTTTGGAACCACGGAGCGACGACAGGTCACGAGATCAGAATCAATCATGCAAAAGGAGTGACAAGGGCAAAGAGGAAGAGGGAACGTCTGATCCTTGAAGCACTTCATAGGACCGAAATACGAATCGACATGTCGAGATCGAGGCAACGATTGCACAACCAGTGAAAAACGCGGGATTACTGGGAAAGCAGGCGCAACACAAACCATAGCGTGAGCCACAAGCAGACCCAACTCATCCACACACACTATCGTTTGACATGGAGTCCTATTCTGGATCGAAACGTTACAATAAATACAATTACTCAGCGCACAAACTGTCCTTTTCAAAAAAGTTACATACTGAAACCATTTACTTCCCTGTTCCGTAAAGATAGTCATTATATTTCGCCAAGTAGTTTAGTCTCGCAAACTGTCAATCAAATCGCAAATCATTCGATTCANCTTTGATACAGTCCGCCGAAAACCCTCATGTCAACAAACCCGACATAAAATTTTCATTTCGGAAACAGATTTCATTAACGAAAATGAGGTCAATATGAGATGGTCGACAGGGGGCGGTTTAAATAAGACTATTCCAACTGCTACTGATTGAGGTTGGATGTGCTAATTCACAAGCGAAATATATCAAATTCACGATCGTCGCGGGCCTCAGTCTACAAATAGGCAGAGGGAATCGCGGGATGCTGGTGTTCTGAGTTTGCGGAGACATGTGGATAAAAGTCATCTCCGGTTGACAGGACCTGATCGAAGGATGACTCGCCAGTCGCATCAACACAGTCAGGTCTTTCTCAAAGGAAACCTAGAAGGTCAATCGTCTGTTTAAAGATCTCCAACCTAGCACTTCAAGAAGGTGCACCAAGTTAATGTACCTGCCCGAACAAATAGGACAATACAAACACGTGTGCTAGGGAGCGCGCGCGCGAGAGAGAGAAAGGATTGAAAGAAACGCAGCGTAGAGCGGGAACGTATGCAAAAAAATAATAATGCAGTTTTACGAACCTGCAATTCGGATAGCAGCCCCATTGGACGAACGTGCTGCGCCGCAAACATATGCAAACGTTGTAAACAATTGATAGCCTCAGCTTGTAGTAATGCATCTGAAGAGTCTTGCATAATCATACAACACAACATGCACGAATGTCGAGCTGCAACGATTTGGGGTCCAGTGCCTGGAACGAAAAGGATCCAAGAACGACGTTAATTGGTAAATAAGCAAAACACGAGTAGTTATTATTTGAGACCCCCACGATTCGATCGATTACGTGGGTAAGCAACGTAGACAGCATCTTCTGATTCGATTTGCTCAGTGTCCGAAAACAACAGATGAACTGAAGTAAAAGGCTAATGATCGAGTGTATTTCTAAAGAAGTGTAAAATGTTCACTCTGAATCATGACCCGAAATATCGGAAATTACGTGACATTTCCATGATGACAGCAGTTTGATTATCTACACTTCTCTGAGATTTATCT